TTTTTTATTGAGTAAACTTCACATAGGCTTTTGTCTTTTTAAGTTTTCTGATTTGCCCCCTTTTGGTATTTAGATATTTATTTATTTGTTTGGGAACATGCCCTGAGAAGGGTTTTTACTCCAGACTCTGGACACTGGTCATTCATGTGTATTTATTCCCCGGATGGAAAGGGAACAGGCTCGCTTGTCACTGAATGGACTGTGTGAAATGTTTACTTGGAGTCAGTCTACTCCCAAATTGCCAAGCAGAGGATATTTGGATTCTTCCTTTTATCATCACAGGACCTCTGCTCTAAGCAAATGCTGTTAGAAGGGTCTGCTTTTGCTTGGGCTGATTGAGACTACAAATTCAGTACACAATAAAAGATTTTTAAAATGCAGTAAGATGGTAAATGTATCATATGATGAGTTTCTATGTAGTCTTGAGATTTTTTTTTTTTTGTATGTTGGTTAATAGTGGCCATTTTTATTTAAAGTTAAAACTATAATCTTACCTAGAAGAGTATTATTTGAGTACTTCAGGTATACACGCATTCAATGATAGTTAAATTTGTGGTCTACTTCAGGAACACAAGATCAGTGTCCTGATAAGCACTTTGTAGATTATTGATGTGGGAATGAATTTGCAAAGAAGCAAACACAGTATTCATTTCCCTTTGCTGAAAAGGCTGTGAAAACCTGTAATTATTCACTTTGTTTTCTGTTTAGATAGTGTCAAAAAGTATGTAACCTCAAATTTGATGCTGGGATACTAAAAATAGAAAAATATCCATGAGCTGTCATGACTTCCAAGGTTTCTCTCCTTTTCTAAATACCCAGTAAAAAGCATTTCTAGAATGAAAGGATCATTTTGGTGCATTCTAAAACTTGCAGGAAATTACTTTTATAGTTTGAGTCTGTGTAAATTGAATTTTGGTATGTTATAATGGTAAATGTTATTCTAAGTGGTTTTCTTACAAATGACTATATGGTTTGCTTTTATTTTGGTCAATGAAGTTTTTATAAGGCTGCCATTCTGACTGCTTAATACAGCATCTGTAGTAACTGTTCTCGATGCATAGGAATAGTTCTTTAGATTTTTCCCTCCAGAGTGAAGAAGCCAAAGACAAGTGTTAGAGGGAGATGTGTTTCATGTCTGGGGTCTACTACTAAAACACTGTCCAGAGTTCCACAGGCTCAGTACTAAGCACCGCCCCATGTTGCAGTCCAGTAAGTGTCCTTTCCCTGATTTCCTTCTTTATTTATTTATTTATGATCAGTGACTCTGACCACATATTGTTTGATGGATATAACATTCTTTCCTGTGGTTCCATTTCCTAGGCTCCAGACAGGAATGGAGTTTTATGTGGTTTTCATAACAGACTGGCTAGCTAATAAAAGGCCAAAACTTTTGTTATATCTATGCTGCTAAGCTCTTGAACTATTAAAACAGCCATAATTACTGTCCCAAGAAAAAGTACAAAGTCCTTTGTTAAAGGTACATGTAGCTAGGTGACAGACATGAATGTCTTTAGGACAATAACGTGTGGACTACACTGCTCCCCTCCCCCCCGTAAAACCAGTGTGGTGGTTTCTGTTCACATTTGTTCTTATGCAAAGTCAGATTTATATATACACTTGTTTCCAAAGGACTGTTTGAGCAACTAGGATATAATTAAAACCCAGGCACACTGTGGATTTGGACTTACCAGTTTCTATTTTTGAGTCTTAGGGTAACAATGGTATATACTGACCTCCTTTTTATGCTTATTTTCATTATGGTGGAAAAATGATTATGAAGTTAAACTATCTTTCTGCTACTTGGGATGACAGACCAATAACAGTCTTCTGTGTTTTTCCATTTGAGGTGGTTTCAGTGTGATTTTTCATGG